TCTCCCTCTCCCTCTCCTCCTCCCTTCCTTCTCCTCTCCTTCCTCTCCTCTCTCTCTTCTCTCTCTCTCTCCTCTCTCTCTCTCTCTCTCTCTCTCTCTCTCTTCTCTCTCTCTCTCTCGCTCCTCTGTCTCTGTCTCTGTTCTGTCTCTGTCTCTCTCGTCTCTCTCGTCTCTCTCTTCTCTTCCGTCTCTCTCTGCTCTCTCTCTCTCTCTCTCTTCTCCTCTCTCCTCTTCTCTCTTCTCTCTCTTCTCTTCTCTCTCTCTCCTCTCTCTCCCTCCCTCTCCCCCCTCCCTCCCTCCCTCCCCTCCCTCTCCCTCCCTCTCCCTCTCCCTCTCCCTCTCCCTCTCCCTCTCTCTCCCTCTCCCTCTTCCCTCTCCCTCCCTCTCCCTCTCCCTCTCCTCTCCCTCTCCCTCTCCCTTCTCCCTCTCCCTCTCTCCTCTCTCTCCCTTCCCTCTCCTCTCTCCTCTCTCTCTCTCTCTCTCTCTCTCTCTCCTCTCTCTCTCTCTCTCTCTCTCTCTCTCTCTCTCTCTCTCTCTCTCTCTCTCTCTCTCTCCCTCCCTCCCCTCCCTCCCTCTCTCTCTCTCTCTCCCCTCTCCCCCCCCCCCCCCCCCTCTCTCTCTCTCTCTCTCTCTCTCTCTCTCTCTCTCTCTCTCCTCTCTCTCTCTTCTCTCTCTCTTCTCTCTCTCTCTCTCTCTCTCTCTCTCTCTCCTCCCCCCCTCTCCCTCTCCCTCCCTCTCTCTCTCTCTCTCCCCCTCTCCCCCCCCCCCCCTCTCTCTCTCTCTCTCTCTCTCTCTCTCTCTCTCTCTCTCTCTCTCTCTCTCTCTCTCTCTCTCTCTCTCTCTCTCTCTCTCTCTCTCTCTCTCTCTCTCTCTCTCTCTCTCTCTCTCTCTCTCTCATTTTAGGTTTTCTTAAGTCTCATATGTCTTGTCTCGGAATATAACTGCTCTGTACAGGAAGCTGTAATTTTGTTGCTGTTGTATGTGTCCATAATTGGATAAGAAAATTCATGAAATATTACATTTTTCTTTAAGTCCATGAAGTGCTTTCCCCACTTCAAAAGATCCTGGATCAGCAGCTTATTCTTCATATTTTCTGAAGTTTACCAGAACGGCTTCTTTTGTAGTCCTAAAATAGCCTAGCCAGGGAACAATGGATCACGCAGAGTTCTATGTCACATCTTTTCAGGACGGATTTTGTTTAATGTCTTATGCTTTTTTAAGATTTGGCTGCAATATTAAGTTAGGAAAGGTATATAGAGGTATCCCGTGAGAGTTGGCCCTGTGTAATCTTTTGAACAGGATGTGCTGATCAAGTTATTTAATGCTTGAGAAACTATTGAAGGTCTAGATAGCATTTATACACTAAAGGGGAGTCATAGCAGGTACCATAATGTATCGCACGCACACGGACCCGCATATGCACACACACATACACATGCATACACATATAGGCAAAGGCAAACACATGTATACACACACATGCATACACATGTATGCACACTCATGCATATGCATGTATGCACACACTTTCATACACATGTGTGCATACACATGTGTGCACACACATGCCTACACATGTATGCACACACATGCAGACACATGAACACACACACATGTAGACGCATGTAGGCATACACTTGCATACACATACGCACACACTTGCATACACATGTACGCACACACATGCATACACATGTACGCATACACATGTATATACATTTATGCACACATGCATATACATATATGCATGTGCATGCATACATGTGTGTGTTTGTGCATGTGTGCATAGTCACACGCACTCGCATTCCATGTTTTCACACTCATTCATACACAAACACAGATATGTACTCTCCAGCTTCCTCCCACCCTTTGCTTTTCCCTCTCCCTCTTCTCCACTTACATCTCTACTACATGAAATTTCTATGCAGAAACATGATGCTAAGTAGGACCTTATGAACTGAGGTGTTGCAAAGTCTGACTGGCCCTATTTTCATAATTATAAGGTTATGCATTATGTAAATATGATGTGGTATAATGCTGTTTAAGAGACTATTTAATGTAGTGGAACTTCTGTTGTATGATTTTAAAAGATAGGCTTCTGTTGTATGATTTTGAAACAAGGCTTATGCTGTATGATTTTGAAAGGTACAGCACAAACTATGTAATGTTTCTCTTCCCATTCCAGAACAGCGTACGATGTGGCGTCTTCCCAGCAACTCTCTCATCCCTGGCCCTTACCATCACAGGCTACAATGCCATGTATCTCACCAGAGATCTACACAAGTCTGATATAGACCCGTCTTTTGGGTTGATTGACCTTCTTAGAAGACATATTAATTTGTAAGTTTGGTCAGATTTTGCTGAAAGTAGTTGAAAGTAGAAGTTCGTTTGTTGCTTGCTCGCCCTCATCTTGGATAAAGCGTTAGCGTAGCTGAAGTGGGTTCTTTTTTTCTTCTTCTTCTTTATATATTATGTAATTATTTACTTATTTTTTGGCTCTTTTCAAGATATTTTCAGAATTTTTGTTGTGATGTTATCAAGCCAATCAAAATACATTAGTGGGGCCCCCCCTTGTTTATGGTCATAGTTCAAGGCTTTCCATTTTAGATGTCAAAACCAGTTGTCTTTGTAGTGTACATGTTACTGTAGTCCTTACATTATTTCCATAATACCTTTGCTTCACCTATTTTTTATGCTTGTTTTCTATCTTGGTTTGTCCATAGTTTGATTTTAGGCTTTACAAGTGCTGATATTTCAAACAAGACAATGTTGAAATAATCAGAGTAATATACAAAAAATATTGGTATTATGAACATTATAAATGTCAAAATACGAGTAATTAGCAATGGGATATGTGGTCACCATTGTTTCCAATATAGAAGTAAAGACCATGTCTGTGTATAAGTGTATCAGTGTTGGTCTCTCTCTCTCTCTCTCTCTCTCTCTTCTCTCTCTCTCTCTCTCTCTCTCTCTCTCTCTCTCTCTCTCTCTCTCTCTCTCTCTCTCTCTCTCTCTCTCTCTCTCTCTCTCTCTCTCTCTCTTCTCTCTCTCTCTCTCTCTCTCTCTCTCTCTCTTCTCTCTCTCTCTCTCTCTCTCCCCCCCTCTCTCTCTCTCTCTCTCTCTCTCTCTCTCTCTTCTCTCTCTCTCTCTCTCTCTCTCTCTCTCTCTCTCTCTCTCTCTCTCTCTCTTATATATATTATATATATATAATATATATTATATATATATATATATTATATATATATATATATATATATATATATATATATACATATAACCTGTTGGATCCGGTGACAGTGGATGTCAGTCATGAAATATTTTGCTGAGAACTTGGATGGAGGGAGCAGGTCAAGCTATCATTACCAAATGGTGGATGATAGAAACTTCTTGCTATGAGTGCACAAAAAACTTAGGGGAAGATAAGAATCAGTAGACCTTCAGAAAGGGATTATTTCATCATTTCCACTGTTAAATGGAGGTGGAATTTACCATCCTTGTGTGATGCCTGGAAGAGCTTTGGTTCCAACAAGGATAGTATTTCCATCACAGTAACCTATTCCTGCCCAACTTGACTGGCAGTACAGGATATGTTACAGAAAATTTAATATTACAAAAATAACACAAGCAAGATATTTGCTATTGGTTCTTTTTATTGTTATTACACATAGTTGTTTTATACCAGGAGAGACAGTATAGCCTGCTCAATGAAAACAAGCACCATCTTGATGTAGCATAACAAATAACAAATATAGACCTCAGAAAATGGCAAAACAGCATATGCAGAGTAAGAGCTAATAGCATTGCAAAGAAGAGGCAAGGAGTCTTTATACTCTGTGTGAGTGATCATGCATAGAGACACACCTGGGGGAGTCCCCACTCAAGTTATCCTATTACCTGGATCTTGGTCCATGTGAGACCCATAAGGCACCTGAATCCAACAGGTTCAGAGCAATGTCATGATTTATAGAAACAACTTTATGCTTAATGTAATGTCCTTTTCATGTATCATGGATCATTTTGTTTACAGAGATGAGCCAGTGAAGGGCATTGTTTGCTGTACAGTGTCAGGCTTTGCTGTTTGGTTTGGAGTATTTATTTTCATGAAATATACTCTTAGAACCCTGTTCTTGTACAAAGGTGAGTTTTAGTAATACTTCTAGCATTGTAATGGAATTAAGAACTGTAAATTTGAAACAATTGTTCTTACCTTATTTTGTAACTTAAGATGTAAGTTAATTTGTTGAGAAAGGGGGGCATATATACAGGTCATGCCTTTTGTGACTTTTGTTAATTTTGCTTTCATATAGATTGTTCCACAAATGATAAATCATCCGAGAATCACCAAGAATAGGTTTATTTTTATTACCATTAGTATTGCTGATAACATTATAACAATAACAATAGTAATAATGTTGATGATGATAATAGTGGTATTAACCCATAGCCGACAGGTGGCATATATGTACATGCCATGTCTATCTTGGACCGAAAAACGCATGGCATAGTATCATGCCCATTCCCGTGCCACTGACTTGTTGGACAAAGTTTGTTTTTCTCCGATAGTAGCGGCTTCATTTGTATGATAAAGATTTTAGGCAATGGCACCTATGATGAAGGTAAACCCTCAAAATTATAATATTTTGATAAATTATAGCAAAATAAAAGCTTTTAGAAGCCAAATATCGCTCGCAAACTACTAATCAAGCTGGGCGCAACCGGGAAACATCTGATGCGCGCTAACAATCCCATTATCATGTCCACTTGCCAAACATTTTTACCCATCGGCACTAGGTTAATATTAAAAAAAAAATAAAAATCCCCAAAAAGTTATGGTAATAGATAAACAGGTGAGGTCAGGTATGACTAGATGTGTCTGAAGCAATGTGTGTGTAACAGAATTGACAAAACATTACTTTAGACAGGGCATATACCCAGTGTAAGTGGCATAAGTACCTCGGTTTGTGATATAGCTAGTTGAATTTGAATTATTTGTTTGTTTTGCCTGTTAAACAATTCTAAAGTTACTATTCTCTCTGATCAACAGGATGGATGTATGAAGCAAGAGGAAAGGGACGGACTATGAGTGTAGTTTCGCGATTGTGGTTCCTTGCCGTCAAAATGATGACCAAGTTTTCGCGGCCTATGTTGTACTCTTATCAGGGATCCCTCCCTAGATTGCCTCTGCCTGCCCTGGATGACACCATGAAGCGGGTAATTTTGTATTTAAGTGTTGGAGGGATGTGACTGTGTATGTATGTGCAACATGTTTGTTGTTACTTGGGTGGTTAACAAGAGTGAGTTACAAACGCAATTACTAGTTAAAATAGTTAACCTCAGTTTGCTAAAGGTGGTAGGGTTGTGGTAGGCTTGTTGGGTGATGCTTCCATGTGCCAGAGATGAAAGGGTTGTAGAGACAGAGACCCTCCTCTGTGTGGCACCAGGCATCCTGGAGATTTCAGGTATTGACCTAGCTTTATGGAGGCTAGATGAGTATGAGAGTTTCTATGAGCATGTCCAGTGCTGATAGATAGTTACTGGAGAGTATCATTCAACAGAACTAGCGTATTTATCAGTGACTTGGTTTGACCACAATTTTGGAGTGTTATGTAGGGATTGAAGACACTTGTTTGATTTTGCAAGACACAAATGGGTTTCAGTATGTGTTTGTTAATTTTTGTACATGCTTGCTTGTTTATGTTTTTGACTGACCTGGTTTAGCCTTAGTACAACTTCCTCCAGGTAACTTGCTTGCCAAAAAATTTTGCAAAGTTGATTAATACCTCCAATTCTGTGAGAAGACGATGTTCATCATAATCATCTCAGTTCCTTTATACAAGTATCTTGGCTGTTAAACTTTATAAAACTTTAGACATATGTAATTTAAAAGTTTACACTAATTATTGGTCTGGCTATGAGTCTGATACTTATAATGGATTAATAGACTTTTTCTTTTACTTCTCTGAATTGAATGGAATATACATAACAGCCTTATAATTAGGCAAAGAATATTGAGACAGTGACGTCATATTTTTTGTTTCGAAACAGTGATTGACATATAACTAGCTAATAATTTGCTCATGTTATTTTTTATTCTCTTTTCAGTACTTGCGCAGTGTCAGGCCATTAATGGATGATGAGAACTATGAACGCATGCAGAATTTGGCTCTTGAGTTTCAGAAAGGAATTGGAAAGAAGCTTCAAAGGTATTAGCTTGCTTCCTGGAGTTTCCTGTTATAGAAGAGGAAAATAAATGGGCTTCCTCCCCCCCCCCCTGTCTTTTCTCTCTCTCTCTCTCCTCTCTCTCTCTCTCTCTCTCTCTCTCTCTCTCTCTCTCTCTCTCTCCTCTCTCTCTCTCTCCTCTCTCTCTCTCTCTCTCTCTCTCTCTCTCTCTCCCCCCTCTCTCTCCTCCCTCTCTCTCTCTCTCTCTCTCTCTCTCTCTTCTCTCTCTCTCTCTCTCTCCTCTCTCTCTCTCTCTCTCTCTCTCTCTCTCTCTCTCTCTCTCTCTCTCCCTCCCCCCCCCCCTCTCTCTCCCCCCCTCTCTCCCCCCTCTCTCTCTCCCCCCCCCTCTCTTCCCCCTCTCTCTCCCCTCCTCTCTCCCCTCTCTCTCCCTCTCTCTCTCTCCTCTCTCTCTCTCCTCTCTCTCTCTCCCTCTCTCTCTCCTCTCTTCTCTCTCTCTCTCCTCTTCTCTCTTCTCTCTCTCTCTCTCTCTCTCTTCTCTCTCTCTCTCTCTCTCTCTTCTCCTCTCTCTCTCTCTCTCTCTCTCTCTCTCTCTCTCTCTCTCTCCCTTCCTCCCTTCCTCCCTTCCCTCCCCCCCCCCCCCATCTGCTTCCCTACCTCCCTCCTCCTCTCCCTTCCCCTCTCCACCTCAAATATGCTTCTGTACTTTGATGTGTGAAAATTTAAATTCTCTGGGCCTTTCTGTTGCTTTTTCATTTACTATCCATTTTACTGTTCTATCATTCCTTTGCATGAAAACAGTGACTTTAAGACTTAATACCCTGCCAGGTACCTGTTACTGAAGTCCTGGTGGGCCACCAATTACGTCACTGACTGGTGGGAAGAGTTTGTGTACCTCCGAGGCCGGTCTCCAATCATGGTTAATTCCAACTTCTACGGCACTGATGCAATCCTCCTGCGTCCCACTCGTATCCAGGCTGCACGTGCTGCCAACGTCACCCACGCTGCTTTCCTTTTCCGAAGATTGGTGGACCGACAACAGCTCCAGCCGGTAAGGATGTGGAATGCCTGTGGCTGGGAACTGGAGCCTTTCTACAAAGTGTCTTTGTCTCTTTGTTCACTTTATATTTTACTATTGCTCTTAGGTTTTGTATGTATTCTGCTTTTTTTTTTTTTTTTTTTTAATTGGATGATTATGTATTAATTATCTTTGACTTCGGGAAATAGCATTTTGTTGGTCAGGCAGTGCATTTTTGGGTTTTGTCCATGGTTTGAATTCCAATGTAGAAAGTAAAATTGTGATACACCTGTGTCAAGTAGATTGTGATCATAAAAATTCCTCAATTGAAATACCAGTAAGATTCATTGATATATTTTATAGATTTAGATGTATGTGAGTTTATTCATATTTATATATTATATTTTATTTTTGTTTATTTTTATAATGCGCAAAACAGTATGTCCATTGTCACTGTATGTGTCGTTGTCATCCAGAATTCTGGCCCATCCTTGCTGTAGTGTAAATAGATACCATCTGCTTTTGTATTAGAGGATATTGCTGAGTCCTTCCTCAGTGTTACTTTGATATGATTTGCAATTATTTACTCTCAATAATTTCTTTGTTAGAATAATCAATAGTCAATTGAATACAGACTTTTCTATATTAGTGTCTATGTATCATTACCTCTACGGTTTTCTGTATTATTGCTTAAATTTGTTTTAAATTTCAGATTATGGTTCAGAATACTGTGCCTCTCTGCTCATACCAGTATGAGCGCACCTTTAACACCTCCCGCGTGCCAGGCGTCCAGACTGACAAGATCGTCCATTATGGTGATTCGACTCACATTACTGTTTACCATGCCGGAAGATTCTTCAAGATGCCCTGCTATTACAAGGGGGCCCTTCTAACTCCTCGGAACTTCAGATGTTAGTTGTTGAAAATAATTAATTTGTATTTCATTATTTTTTAATGACGAGGGATAAGTGTTAAGACATGGTCGTTTGTTGAGTATTTGCTGAAATAGATATGAGAAATACATTCCACATTCACATACTCTCCTATTCCCCTTTCTGTCATCCTCCTTCTTTCCTTGCCCTTCTCGCCTCTTACCTCTTTTATTGCTCCCTCTGTGACTATACTTAGAGATTATTTCATAATTGTGCTCCACGTTTCTGCAGCCAATTTGAGCGTATCCTTGCTGACGAGAGCGTCCCAGAAAAGGGTGAAGCTTACCTAGGGGCTCTGACGGCAGGAGAGCGAAAACCCTGGGCTGAGGCTCGAATGAGGTTCTTCAGGAAGGGAGTTAATGCTGTTTCATTAGATTTAATTGTAGGTGTTCTGCATTAGTTTTGTACAAGTAGATTATTCTATGTATTTTTTTTTTTTTTTTCTTCTTCTTCTTCAATGGTGTGTATACTATATGTAAACCTTTTCTCCCACTTTCTTTTTCTTTTTATATTTGTGAATATACTCATACATAATTTTTTTTGTTTGTTTTGTTTGCTTATTTTAACAGAGAGGGCAGCATTTGTGTTAGTGCTGGAGGAGGAGGAGTGTGATTATGATGAGAATGACCCAAGCCAGCTGGACAAGTTTGGACGTACCATGCTTCACGGCAAAGGCTATGACCGCTGGTATGACAAGTCTTTCAACGTGATTGTGATGAAGAATGGCAAGGTGAGTATTAGTTGGTTGTAGTTTTCTGTGATTTTTTTTTCTGTTTTTAACTTAACATAAAAGAGAAGGAAATTAATTATTATATATATATTTTTTTCTGTTTTTTAGCTTTACATAAAAGAAGAAGGAAATTAATGAATATTTTTTTGTTTTCAACAGATTGGTTTCAATGCTGAACATAGCTGGTAAGTATTCAGGCTATAATGCCTAAAATTGGTTTGATTACCTCCAACCATAGTGTTTATTGTGCCGTTTTCTACTTCAAAGATAAGATAAAGAATATGATTGTCTTGCAGATGACAATATAGATTTAAATACATCATGAATAGTAAAGAAATTTTACCTGCTGTCAGTCATAGTATTCTTGGACAGGAGAGCTGATTTTGAAGTTATAATCTAAGTACAGGAGACTGCTGTAGATTTTTAAATATTCTTAAATGTTGTTTCATTACTCAGTTAAGCTTCACCATGTGTATGTGACCTTGCCAATCTGCTGTTTTTGATGGTGAATATTTACTTATGTTGTATATTTTTATATATATACCATTCCTTTATTTACTTTTCCTTATTCTTATTATTTCATTTGTTTTCTTCTGAAGACAGATGTCTCTTCTCATCTCAAAGCAGCTGCTGGTATTACTGCTATGACTGCTGTTTTGTACATGTTTACTCCTTATTTACGATTAGATCTTTTTCAGTGGCTTTCATAAGTTGATGGATTGGTTTATTTAAACTATTTTGTAATTTGTTTTAATTACATTCATGTATGAAAATAGTCATATGAAAGCAATGATAATGAGATTAGATTTTTTCCTGTGTGCATCTTACTAACTTTGATCTTCATCTTATTTTCTGTGTGATATCATTCATAGTATTTTGCAGTTACATATCCTATCCCAAATACACCCTGTGTAAATTCATGAGTAAAATCTATTTCTCCCAGGCCCTCCAACCTCCCCCCTATACCTCCATCTCTTCCACCCTTCTACAGCTTACCTGTTGTTTTATTTTAGCAGTATTATTTGACTTTTTGAATTTTTAGTTTTTTTTTCTTCATTTGCCTTGATTAATGCTTTGTTTTTTGCCCAAGTAAAAAAGAGTGCCTTAACCAAACTTTCAGGGCCGATGCTGCGATCATGTCCCACCTTTGGGAGTATGTGATCACAAAGGACCTGATCGAAGAAGGGTATGAACGCATCCCTTGTTGTGGTCTTGTTCAGGAGTGGTGAATGGGTTCTCAGCATTGTTTTCTTTCTTTCTTTTTATATGATAAGTTGAAAGTTTTCTGTGTCTCCCACTCCCTCTCCCTCTATCAGAAAGCTACTAAAGATAATTGTAGAATGGTGTAGAGGGCATTTACTCCTCCTGAGATCTTGGTTAACATTTTATGATGGAATACCCAACTCCTAAGCAGGACCTGTCCTTTTGTTTCAGGAGGCAGAGCTCTTGGAGACTGCTTGCCTTTGCAGAATAGCCTGCATTGTTGTTTTTTTTTCCTTCCTTTTTTCCCTCTTGTTTCTACCACTCTAGTGCCTGTTCTTCCACAGCAACCATGGTGTATGTTTTTATGATTTCTCTCTGATTAAATTGCTGGATAGATAATTCGACTTGCAGCACTCTCCTGCAGCACGACAGAATGCTTCAGCTTTTAGTGTTATATCTTTAATTTTTTTCCTTTTTATGTGTATATAGAAAGGTATTAATTATTTTTCATTTATAAATATTTCTCTTACAGTCTTCTTGATTAAAAGTTAATAATTTGTACAGAAATGTCTGGTCTACTAGTTGCTTGCTTGATATAATAGAAAAGAACACAAGTTCTGGTCACATGATTAATCTTTGATTCTATTTAACTTCGTTAATTTCTTTTATAACTGCTTAAACTTACTCATTTAATCACCTTTGTAGGAGTTTCTCTTTTACTCCTTTAGAGGGAAATGGATCTCTTTATCTGGTAGACCTCACACTTTCACTAATAACAAAAGGATAGATGATAGTGAAGGTTCACAGCTTCCATTAAGCAGTTAGCAGATTCCTGCTGCATCTGTCGTCTGTGCCTATAAATTGCATCTTTGGGAAGTTTTTCATCCTCTTGGAAGTCTGAATATGAAAAGCAATGAGAAGTGATCAGCCTATGATTTACCAGTCAGAACATAATGTTGTTTTATGTATAACTCGGTATAAGGAAAAGTCATTGCTCTTCATTCAGGTCTTCAGAGGAGAAACCTCTCCTTCTTCCCACCCACTTTCTTTCCCAATCTATCATCTGATGCACTTGGCACAGCCTCTGATTAGTACTTCTGCTGCTCCACAAAGATGATAAGAAAGCCATGATTGTATCCTCAGGGCAGATGCCCCTGTCATGGGCCACCTCTGGGAGTTCATTATGGTAGAAGATATCTTTGAGAATGGGTATGGATATTTTTGCATGTGTGGGTTTTCCCCCTTTGTAGTGGGTTAGTTCTTTGTGGGAATATTAGAGTACTCACTTACAACTGTTATGCAGCCTCCCCTCCTTTACATATTTGAGTAAAATTGTGGAGGAACCCCATTTTTCATCACAAATTACAAGTGAATGTTGTTGGTATGGGAGCATTGCTTTGTGAATCTTGACAGATCTGAGATAAGGGAGGGTAAAAAAAAGAGATTATCATTGGCATATCCTTAAGGAATAGTATTCTGGTATTCTTTTATGGTGCAGAAGATCCACTGAATCGCTCTTGTTAAAGACAGTAGGAGAAGGGGTAGCATGATTTTTGAATGCACAAGAACTAAGATGAGGACACAGTGTTGCTTTTGAAACTAATCCCTTTGAATGCATATCCAAATTTGTTTTAAAGAAACATAAATGTAATGGAAAGTAAGGAATCGATATTGGCAGTATTGAGGAAGCTCGGCAGGAATGACTGATTTTTACCTGACTACAATCAACATGCACTAATTTGGATTTCTCAGTGGATGGGCTAACTCTAAATTATTGCTTATGGCTTTTGCTGGAATAATAAATTGGTTTTACATATTCATTTTCCCTTATTAATTTAATTTATTTTTCCTTTCTTACTAGTTTTGATGTATATTTTTCAGTCCTTTTGATTAAAGTAGTTGTAAACACAAAAAGATCCTAGGTAGAACAGAGTAAATAAGATTTTTTGCTTTTGTTTAATATTTGATTTTGTTTTCAAGTTTTTGTTTGTTTGTTTTTGTTTTTGTTTTTTTTCTACACTTATGTGTGCATGTTGTCAATGAATATGCAAATATACAGACAGGCATTCACAACCCCATCCACTCATACCCATATGCACATGTCGGTGCACTCACACACTCACTCACTCACTCACTCACTCACTCACTCACTCACTCACCCACTCACTCACTCACTCTCACTCACTCTCACTCACTCTCACTCACTCACTCACTCACTCACTCACTCACTCACTCACTCACTCACTCACTCACTCACTCTCTCTCTCTCTCTCTCTCTCTCTCTCTCTCTCTCTCTCTCTCTCTCTCTCTCTCTCTCTCTCTCTCTCTCTCTCTCTCTCTCTCTCTCCTCTCTCTCTCTCTCTCCTTTATACTCAGTCACTCTCTCTCTCTCTCTCTCTCTCTCTCTCTCTCTCTCTCTCTCTCTCTCCTCTCTCTCTCTCTCTCTCTCTCTCTCTCTCTCTCTCTCTCTCTCTCTCTCTCTCTCTCTGTCTCTCTCTGTCTCTCTCTCTGTCTCTCTCTGTCTCTCTCTGTCTCTCTCTGTCTCTCTCTGTCTCTCTCTCTCTCTCTCTCTCTCTCTCTCTCTCTCTCTCTCTCTCTCTCTCTCTCTCTCTCTCTCTCTCTCTCTCTCTCTCTCTCTCTCTCTCTCTCTCTCTCTCTCTCTCTCTCTCCTTTATACTCAGTCACTCTCTCTCACATATGCACATACACATATACAAGCATATACCCCAGTATAGATGCACTTGCTTTCACATCTTGCTCGCATGCATAATAGACATTTTTATGCATCTTTCTCTCCCTATTTCCTCTTCCTTGGTTATAATAGTGAGCATGTATATATGTATATATATATATTTTTTTTTTTTCTTGTCTCTATCGCCTAAGAGCATGTTTGTTTGCTCATTACTGACTGCTTACTAATTCTAGTAAATAAGATATTTTTGCTATGTCCGTTTCTGTAACATGTTTATTTAGTAACAGATATTTGATATTTGATGTCAGTATTTAGGTTGATGTAGCTTTAATTTCGAGTGTTTTTGAGAAGAAAACAAGTTGGATATTTTGACTAAGAATTGTAAATATAGAATTTTTAAAAACTTGATGATAAATTTACTTTTTTGTAATTGAAAGTATGCCTTTGTCAAATCTTACTTCATTTGCATTCTTTCCTGCATCTCACTGGATTGTTCAGACCGTAAGTGGCAGCAGAGAAATGACACTCCGTTTGTAACTTTAATTTATGATCTCAGCTGATAGAATTTTGATTGTTGAAAGTTGTAAAAGTTTTAAACTGTCATTTTGGACCTCAGCTTGTTATAACTTGAAGCTCGAATACACCTTAAGAAATATTAGTCAATGGATATGTCCACAGTATTAATCCTCTACATTTCCAAAAGATCGACAGTGATGGCAACTGCACCGGCAAACTGACCTGCGACCCTCCGTCCCAACACGCCTGAAGTGGGAACTCAACCCAGAGTGTATCCAAGTGATTGACAACTCCTTTAAGGTGAGTCGTGGCTAAGTTGCTAAAAGTTTTGGAGTCTAAACACAATTTTATTTCATCATTGTGTCATCTCATATATATATATTGTGTGTGTGTGTGTCGTGTGTGTGTGTTCGTGTGTGTCTGAGTGTTTCGTGTGTGTCTGTGTCTGTGTTGTGTGTGCTTTTTTTTTTTTTCCAGTTTTCAGTTACTTTTCCATCACTGCAGGTAGCTGAAGCTCTCCTGAATGACGTGGACCTAAGGCTGTACATGCACACTCTCTATGGCAAGGGACTTATGAAGAAGTGTCGCCTCTCCCCAGACGCATACATCCAGATGGCACTACAGCTGGCATACTTCAGGGTATTTCTTAATTTTTTTTGACATTTTGAAGACTTGTATATTGGTTATTTGATGTACTTATGGCTATGCTTAAACGATGCTTGAATCAGATCAGTGACAAAGTCCATGGTATTAACCAAGCATTTTTAATTTTCCTTTGGAATTACATCAGTTAGAAATTTACTGTCTTTTATAATGATTATTCTTGCCTTCTTTTAACTCCCCCTCAGGATGCTGGAAAGTTCAACTTGACATACGAAGCCAGTATGACCAGGCTGTTTAGGGACGGAAGAACCGAAACTGTGAGACCTTGCACAATCGAATCGGCTGCTTGGGTTAAGGCCATGGAGGATAAGTCTTCTACGGTTAGTGTGCTGATTCACTTGGGGCTTCTGTGAGCTGATCAACAAGAATAGTTTCTCTGACTGGAATTACATCCCTGCCTATCAGTGCGCTATACAAAATCAATTTGACATTTTCTAGATTTTTGAGTTTTATGAGAGTTACTCATCTAGAATTTATGATCTAGTTGAGGCGTTCATTTTTCATGAATATTTACGTAACTTTCCCCATTTATGACGGTTGACCCACATATGAGACCCAGAAAAAAACATTGCCGGGCGTCCCACCGGTGTGATGCTAGATCGGAGCTTGTGCTCCGATTCTGTCACGGGCTGCGGTTGGCACATGGGCAGATTATGGGCCAGCCCAGTGTGCCGATTTTGAAGCCGCCCAGAAACTATTACTATTACTTTCGGCTTCAGAATATACCAGCGCTAGTTGGTTAAAGTTGCATTGCTTTCTAGGATGAAGACTGTGTTGCTCTGCTACGTAAAGCATGTGGTCAACACCAGAGAGGTTACCAAGACGCCATGTGTGGAAAGGGCATTGACCGTCATCTTTTCTGCCTCTATGTTATCTCAAAGTACCTTGAAGTGGATAGTCCCTTCCTAAATGTGAGTGGCGAATGTTGAGATTTCATACTGTTGTATTTAGAATTGTAGTTATTAGGAGACATACTATGAATAAGGCTAGTATATTGAGATGTTCAACCAATTAAAAGAAAATAATGCCAACTAATCATAGGACAATATTTTAGGCTAAACACTACTAGGACCCTAATAAAATGCAAGTAAACCCCAAATGGGATATCTTTTAGGATTTTTGTCATATTACCCATGGAAAGCTTATTGATTAGTATACACAAATATGCTTACTGAAAGCACCCAAAACTATTCATCCATCACAGGAGGTGTTATCTGAACCCTGGCGTCTCAGCACGTCCCAAACCCCCCATGGCCAAACTAACAGAATGGATCTGACGAAGAACCCCGATTGCATCAGCGCTGGCGGTGGTTTTGGGCCCGTTGCTGACGACGGTTATGGTGTTTCCTACATCATTGCTGGTGAAGACACGCTGTTCTTCCACATTTCAAGCAAGAAGAGCTCTCCTGTCACAGTAAGTGGCAATGCACTTTGTTTCAAGTTGTGAATGATTATTGACAAGGATAAATGTATAAATGAGTTTCACTTGTTTGTACAAGCCTTTGAACTATGCTACTAGTTTTGACTTTCATAATAAGCTGTCATTGCCAAAGCTTTATTATTGATTATTAATCTTTTGCCCTTTAGGATTCCAAAAGGTTCGCTCGACAGATTGAGAAGGCTCTTCTGGATATGAAGAATCTGTTTGAGTCGGCACAGAAGAAGTAAAGGCAGAAATTTACTTACATTATTAAGGACTGTTCAAGATAGTTATATATGCCAGGCTGCTGTAAGGGAAGACTTCACAGTTCAGATAATCATTTTTAGTTGAAATGTTGTTATTGTGCATAATGTGCAATGAAAGAGTTTTATTCCATATCATGGAAGGAATTACATGGCAAAAGCAAATTAGAGGAGTTTCAAAATTGCTTTAGCTGATGAGAATTCATGTAGTTGTTTTATTTAGCAAGAAAAGTTCTGTAACAACTTTCATGTTATGTTGATAGATCTTTATTTTTTTTTAACCAATGGCAATAATTTACATATATATGTATACAATAGATTTATTTTTAAATACCATAACTACAGCTACTTTTTTCTTCAAAAAAAAAAAAGTATAAACAAATTATTAACAAAGTAATGAAGCTTTTTGCTTTACATTCTTTTCTTATGGACAATATTTAGTGTAATTAGCTATACCCACAATTCTTGATTCTTTGTACAATCCAGGTATGCACTTTTGGCAGCTTGCCATATATGCTTGAATTAGCTTGAACTATTCTCTGGACATGCAGCCTTCTGTTATAATGTAGAGTATTTGTGATTTGATCATTTTTTCTGTAGACAGAATCTCTGGTTTGATAGTTTGCACAAGTTTCCAGATGAGGAGGTTTTTTAGACAGTTATTGTTTAATAATCTACATTATTGTTACAAGGTTATCTCATTAAAAGTAGTGTTAAAAAGAAAGAGTACTGTCAGGGAATAAATTTAAGTATGTGCATAACAGAATCTTTCGATTTTATTTTGATATTGTTCTTGTTATCAAAGAAGATGACTTCTTGATTACTTTCATATTTTCCATGCAAAGTATGATGGACAACTGGTGGTAAATTCACACAGACGTATATTTTTAGAGAATGATGCAAAAAACAAACTGCAAACAGTGTTAATCCACATGATTGTGAATGTGAATGGTCACTCATATGTAATGTGTGATGGTCCAATGTAATGTACAATGATCCTTAAAGTTCATGATTTATGAAAACTAAATTTCGTTCTCATAGAAAATGACCTTCAAAAAGAAGAAAAAAAAAAGGTTAGTGTTTTCTGTAGTTTACCTGTAGTGAGAGTTGTGATGGGTCTTTTGAAAGCAATTAGAAGTACACTAAAATTCTGCTTTTAATTTCTTACTTAAACAATTTATGTATATGAATGTGTGTATGTTTATATATTCATGTAGATATGCATCTCTATATGTACTGTAAATATATAAACATACACATATACACTTATAAATATGTACATAAAACTTGTACATTATACACACATATACATATGCATGTACATTATATTAAAGCGTGTGTGTATATGTATTTGTGTATATATATTGTGTGTGTATTGACATACGCATGCATATACACATATTTTTTTTTTGTTAGTCTCTCAAAACTTTAAAGTCTTTGTAACCATTATTTTAATGTTATTATGACACAAGCTTTTTCTCTTGTGCCATGAATAATCAATGCAAACATATTCTAGTTGTGTAAATTTTTTGGTTAAGGTAACATGTGTTGTTTAGATTTTTTCTCATTCTCTGTTTAGTACAGATTTGTTTTTTCTCTTCGAAGCAGATTTTTAATTATTTAGTATTTCACAAAAGTAGATTGTTGTTATTTCATCATAATGTTTATTTACTTACATAAAATGCAATATATGAAATAGTCTGCTTCATGTCACAGAATGTCGCATTTCCTGTTTTTTAGTCAGAAGAAAACCAGATTGCTCCCTTCCCACAGGCTATTATTGAATAGTGACTGAAATTTCCAGCCATACTAAAATTACAGGTTCGTTTCCAGATGATCATTTATAAAAGAAGGAAAAAGAAAAGATAACAATTCATGACAGAAGCCTTAGATCTAGAACATATTGCTCAGATCCTCAGTGAAAGAAGTTGTAGGGATCTTTAGAGCAGTGTGTATTATGTGGGAGGTTGAGTTTACATTACAAAAAAAACATGACAAATAAGGTGTTTATTGGTCCTAAAGTAGACTTCATTAAAGTAAATTGCTTAACCCATTGCTGATGGGCAAAATTTTCAGTGAAATTGAGAGAGGACAGGGGCACGCTGCACTATAGCGCTGTGACAGGGTGATTGATTGACCTGTGGTAGTGTGCTTGATATCCGATAATGGATTTGCCCGCAGCAGTCTCAGTGATTGTTTGAATTATCCCAGAAAGCAGTTGCAAGAGCATAGCATAGTTTAGGGATAGTCAAGGAAGTCATTATGATTCCAGATATTTATACACCCCTTTCAACAATCGGACACCTTGTCACCAGTAAAACATTGGAAATTGGAACAGACTAGTTATAAATTAATTAGGATGAATAACTTGATATGAAAATGTTATCAAGATGATGACATTTAAACAAAGTGAAGTTTTGTAAATGCCATCATATTCTTACTGTTAGTTTCCTTAACCCAGGCAAAAGTCTCAAAAGAGTACATGTATTCCCTGTCATGTAGAATTTTTCTTGAGGATGAGAACCTGATGTGAATGGGTTAAAGAGGAAGACTTTCCTTTTGTGAATTTCCAATGGAGCAGGTCTGGGAAGTCCTTTTACAATTGGATGAATTGTTAGTGGTAAAATTTGTAATGGGACGCAAATATCAACACAGTAGGGCAGACTTGCTTTAGGAAGATATCAGAGAAATTTTCTTGTTCAAATAATATTCAGAAATTTAAAGTAAGTGGGCATAATGTGTATTGAAAATGATGACATACTGATTTTTTTGTTTTTGATTTGTCATTTTTTCATTTTCCTTTGTAAACACTGATTGCCCTTTTATTTGATGTTGATATAGCCAAGATAAAAAGTCATAAGAAATCTTGTTTTAAAATATTTTATGTATATATCACAATTTTAATGATTTTAAACACTGAAAAGTGTTTTATGAGAATTAAGAGACAGCCACACTCTTTCAACTCAAAGGTATTTGTTTACAGTTATATTGTTTTTTTTATTACTACTGTTGTTTTGTTTTTTAATTTTTGTTTGTTTTTAATGTGAAATGTTCCTTAGATGAGACACTGAAGAAGTGCTGACCTTGTTAAATCAGTGGTGCCAGAAGAATCCGAGCCAGCATCCTTCCATGGTTGTGTGTCTCAAGACGTGGGATTTGGCTTAAATGCGCAGTAATACCTACTTGAGAAATTGAAAATAATAAACAGTATAAAACTTGCCACCGTTTGTAATAGTTATTTTTCATGTAAACTGACAATGGTTTAACTAAGCCAGATTCCAGATGTTCTCACTAGGTGCCTCAAATATCAATGCAATTATTCCTTGATTAACAATGCAATCTGACAAAGTATTTTGTCATAGGTAATTGTTCTTATATTGTAGGTAATCACAGTATATAGGATTCATGATGTTAGGTGTAGCAAATAAAGACAAAAATATTTTTCTTCATTGTTTCTTTTTCCAAATGTAATTGTTCAATCTTGATGTCCAGTAATCTCTGTAATCAAGAAAGGGAAAAACGGCCACAAGAAAATTAAAATAAACGTTTTATTTTCGTATCTTGATGTGGCTGTTTTCATGTTTATTTTGTGTACACATTCCTGCATTTGTGCTTGTTTCTGTAATCAAGCTCTAATTTTTCCACAGTTATGATTATAGGAATATAGCACATACATATACAGCTTTTCTACTTCTTTGACAGTATGATAGATATTCATAATCATGTACCTTTATTAGGGACAATGGAGTTTGCCTTTTTTTAAATAGCCCACTGATTTTAATTCTCCTGGCTCCCCGACCCCAGGCTTTTATTTGACCACGACTCTGAACACTATTATTACTCTTTTTCCTTATCATCCCCATCTTCTTTCCCTACCCAATTCCTAAGGTGAGGGCCTTGTTGAAAGCATGAAAAATTGGCTTTGCGTCAGTCATGAGCAACCTCAAGGAGCCACGGGCATGGTATTGGTTACCCCACAGTTATTGTTATTGGTTATTAGTTATTAGTATTGGTTACCCCCCCCCTTCCAATTCCTTGCTCGTTGTTGTCGTGGGGGCTTAGGAGATGAAGACCCCCCCCCAATCCCTTGCTCAACTAATTTTGCATGGTCTTTTCTCCCTCCAGCTCTTTCGTTTCCGTCCCTTCTCCAACCCCTTCCAAAGGTGTAAGAGCCGTGCTGAAAGGATGACTTTGTGCCAGTCCTGACGGCCTGAGGGAACATGGGCACAGTATTCCCGTTTTAGTTGATTAGTCCTTACCCATCAAGGGGACCCTGAGGGGTGGATTGTTTATTTCCCCAACATAGTCAAGGCTTCCCATGGCCAGTAAAGATTTAATACCCATATTGGAGGCAATGAGGCTTGCCCCTTCATCAAATAGCCCACCGATTCAAACTCTCCCGGCTCCCCGACCCCAGGATCTCCATGATCACGACTGAATACTACAACTACTATCCATTCCTCAATGCCTACTAGTGCATTATCCACCCAAGTCAAGACTCCTCTCCTAACTTCCTCAAACTTCATCACCTCTACCCCCACAACCTTCTTCATCAAACACCCTATCTTCCCTATTACTACCCTACAACCTTATTTTCCGTTTCTCCGTTCTATTCACTCTTCCACACGTTCTCGACCATCCACCACCACCAACCCTACAAATATCTTAAATACTCCATTCAGCCTTGCTAAATGAGACCGATTTTTCGTGATCCCTTCTACAGCTCTTACTCAGGCAACACTCTTCTCTTTCAACAATGCCTCCAAAAACAAGTGGGCAGAGTCTCTTTCCCGACGCGATCGCTCCCGTCTCGTAACAGTCACATCTGAAACTGAAGCTATAGCATTATCAAATCTAACTGATCTCTCTGGCAACCCCATTCCTGCAGAACCTCATCCAACTCTTAATACTTGTACCGGAACTGTCTCTATCTCCCCAGCAAACTGCCCAGTCGATACCAAAGATTGGTCAGATTGTGGAGAAGACTTACTCGGCTGCCTCAAAGACCAAGATGAAATTCAGTACATTGCTACTCCATTCCTCCTAGAGGTCATCGAAAGAAACCACCAACATTGCCAAAATTACTTTCAGTACACATGACCTTCCCTTCGTATCTACATTGGTGGACAATCCCTCCCTGTTCGACCATACCAACCTCCTCCCCGTCAATGTCAAAACTGTTGGCGCTTGGACATCCTGCCAAACACTGCCGCTCCACAGACCGATGCCCCAGATGTGCCCAACCCGGTCATAACGATCAAACTGCTCAGCACAAACACGCACATGTGCTAACTGCAGCGGCCCCCATAATGTATTTTTACAGAGGCTGTCCCACTTACTAGTTTGAGTCTAAGGTAGCAACTCTCAGATACGAAGATGGTCTCACTCTACGTGAAACCAGACTAGGTTTTCTCTCTCCCTACTCTAGTAATGTGCTCATCTGCCCCTCCCCCTCCAACCCAGGACGTTCCTACACCCTCCCCTATACCTACTCACTTTCCCACTTCCACTTCTACATTCTACCTTCCCCAGTTAAGTTATTTTGCCACTCTAAATCCAGACACTCCAATCTCAACTACAGTTCCAATCTCAAATACAGCCCCAACACCGTCCCCTCTCCCGCCCTGCACTACCCACAGCAGACAGACTAAACGTTCCATCCCTTCTTCCCCTACCGCACACTCACCTCCACCTACCTTTGCCTTTATTCCTTAGACACCAGTTTCCTCTTACCCCTCATAAGAAAGTCTCACAAAACTCCAACCAACTCCACTGCAGAAACTATAGAAGATATTCAAAACAATATGCTTGAGACACAAAATTCTCAAATCATGCTCCTCCACACTCGAAGTGTCTGCGATATCCATCCCCTTCCTACTCATATTCCCCTTACACCCTTTCCTCCTACTTCCTCTCAACACAACCTAACCCCTCAATTCCGCCTACTGCCGATATCCATCCTCCTCCTACCATATACCCCCTAACCCCTCCCTCCTACTCCCAACACAACCCATTCCCCTCAACACCTACGACTGCCGATATCCATCCCGACACCCATCCTCCTCCTACTCATATTCCCCCTACACCGGTTCCTCCTACTCCCTCCCAACACAACCCACCACCCTCAACTCGAACTACACGTACATTCCCTTCCTCTATCCCCTCTATCATTTCCACTCTCTCCTGGATACACACGTGAATCCCTTTGTAATTCCCTTACCTAGATCCACCATAACCCATCCACACAGCAACACCTTTACGCATCTTAAACCTTTCGATATTACTCTAGATAGTTGACGCATAGCAACTATCACCTTCACCCCTCCTTTAATATACTTCCTATAGTGCTATATGACCTTATATGACTAGCACATTTATTTTGCTCTTTAACCATTAACAATCAACCACTACCCACTCCTCAATGTCTGCTTGTGCGTTTTCCTCCCAAGTCGAGACTCCTACTCTCCGAACTTCCTCAACTTAATCAGCTCTACCCCACACCCTTCTTCACCAATCACCTCATTTTCCCTTATTACTGCCTTACAGCCTTATTCTCCATCTCTGTAATACTAGCCCCCTCAACAATACTCTTTTCTACACGTCCCCGTCCTTTCTACCAAAATTACTTTGAGCATCCTACCAAACACTACCGTTCCACAGACCGATGCCCTCTGTGCCCAACCTGGTCATATCCGATCAATCTGCCCTGCACAAATACGCAAATGTGCTAAATGCGGCGGTCCCCATAATATATTTTATAGAGGCTGTCCACCTACAAGTTTGAGTCTGAGGTAGCAACCCTCAGATACAAATTTGGTCTCACTCTACGTGGTGCCAGACAGGAAGCATGTCAACGAGGTTTCTCTCATACTCCCTACTTTAGTAATGTCGCTCGCTCTGTCCCTCCCCTCTAACACAGGATGTAGGAGCATCATGGGGCTGGATTCACTAACATACGATCGTAACGCATTTACCAGCGGTCATTTACCATTGCGTTTACCAGTGACGGCAAAGCGGGATTCATGAAGAAATGGTAATCTGGATCAGCTGAGTTACAATGGTAAATCGTCTCATTCTGATGGTAGCCAAAAGAGGGCTCTAGTAAAGCAATTCCACCAATCAGCGAGCGCCATACATAATCTCTTAGGTTCCTTTGACCAATCACGTAACATGTAAACAGAACTAGACACAGCGAACTTGTTAAAATAATCGTCACAGCTAAAGCACTATTTGAGCGCATGTAGAAAAAATATATATATTTATTTGATTATATTAATCATGTTGGATATATATTTACTGTATAGATAGGAACCAATACAAACACTGTTATATAATATATTATTGTTTACCTCAAACCAGAGACAGTTCAAACAGCTTTTTATTTATATATTTTTCATCAGCATGAAACAAAAAACCGGACCAAACAAAATTTGTATTCATCGCCAATTGTTAAAGGAAACATTTCAAGCTTATTCTTGCCCACGCACTTTGGAGTTTACTGTCAAAAAGCCGACAGACACAGATATTGCTATACTCGTTTAGCTTTGATATGGCCAGTTTATATATCAGCAAGGTAGTTTTTTCTATAGCATTTGTAACAATTATGTCAGTGAGGATTTCTTTAAGTGTTAACTTATTTATCGTTTCCATGCATTCTAGTATAATGTAGGCCTATAATTTTACAAGAATTTGTGTAGATTTTATTCTTGCTAGTTTCATGTGAAATTTACATTTCTTCATTATGTCCACATTGTGATATCTGTTTGCCATCATATTAGTTACATCAGGTGTAAAAACAAACCCAAAACTTTGCTTGCATATTGATTTTTGACGAGATAACACGTGATGACATCGTCTTCCAAGGAGTTACCAGTGCTCTAACCACTGGTAAAATTTACCATGGTAACTCCAATGACAAGTTGTTAGTAAATACAGTCTGTTTACCATGGTACCTATAGTTACCATAGTTACCAGTGATTTTACCATGGTAAGTGCGTTAGTGAATCCGGGCCCTGGGTTGGAGGGGGAGGGGCAGAGCGAGCGATATTACGAGCCAAATTCTTTTGCCACTCTAAATCCAGACACTCCAATTTCAACTACAGTCCCAACACCGTCCCCTCTCCCTCCCCGCACTACCCACAGCAGACAGACTAAACGTTCCACCCCTTCTTCTCCTACCACACACTCACCTCCACTTACCTTTGCCTCCTCTAACACCAGTCTCCTTTTACCCTCCTCATAAGAAAACCTCACAAGACTTTCCAACTAACTCCACTGGAGAAACTATGGAAGATATTCAAAGCTATATACTCGAGACACAAAATTTCACAACTCATGCTCCCTCCACACTCGAAGTTACTGCCGATATCCATCCTGCTACCTATATATCTCACGGTGCAACTGTTGGTTTGACACGTGGTCCCGCCAACAGTACCCATGATCCG